TTGCCTGGGAGTCATTGAAAAAGAATGCTGGCAGTAAAAAAAGTTGATAAAATCACCTCTTGTGATCTTGCAACTTTTCTTTGTTTTCAGCTATCGGAGGTGCAGGGAGGAGAAACTGTTCCTTACTCAGGGCTGGATTCTCTTTCCTGGGTCCCTCCTCTGGTTCCACAGCCTGCTTTACTGGCTGAGGGCAGACAATGCAAAGCCATGTCTTAACTTGTTTTCCAGAATCAGAGGAAAGTTTAACATAACAAAATTTTATAGCTCCTGCCCAGTAACATATATTACTTAAAAAAAAAAATACCTTTCCCTTATCATGCATTATTCTTTTACATGTACATTTTTCCTGACGTATTGAAGTAATATTCTGCGGTTTGCTATGAGTTGGAGGTTTATGGCCCTTCTGTGGCAGATCAGACCAAACATAATTCATTCATAGCTACTTAGTGCTCAGGGAAATAAACCCCTGAACTTAAATAACTATGGTGTGACCTCTGTAAAATATTATTTATGGCTTTAAAACTACTATTATGTAGATATCAAGATGTGCCAAATGCTATAAACCAAACACCAGCCAGCAAATGGGACAACTACTATTCCATTTATTTTCTTCCTTCCTTTCTGGATATTTCTCTGCAAATACTACTTTCATTTAAATGGATTCTGGGGTAATTACCTGGCAGGGGAAAGCAATGTTTATTTACATTTTATTATAGAATATTACAGTAAGTAAAAAATTCTCTTTCACAAAGAAGCACCACAAAAATGTGAACATTCATTAACATACTGGAGTTTAATAGGAAAGATATTGATTACTTTTGAGCATAAAGTAACTATCCTCACTATCAGTGAACTAATGTAACCCATCTGCTATTCATTTCTGCAAATTAATTTATGGAGGAAAACCTGACTGTATGTTTAAGTTATCCAGATGGGATACGTTGAGCATTTCCATGCTGTTAAGAATATATGTGCATTCTCAGCTCTCTTTAAGATTTTCAATGTTTAGAGTGCCATCTCTGCATCTTACATTATTAGATGCAGCTCTGCATCCAATAATTTCCTGAATTATTTTCTATGCATTCATCTATATTGTAAGAAATAAAATGTTCAGTGGTAAGAAAGTAGTGGAGTCATTGGTTTCCTAGTTGTCATTCAACACATGTTTGAGGACCCATCATGTGCTCGTTATGGTACTTGGCACTGGCAATAATAAGGATGAATGAGAAAAAAATTATCAGCTCTCGTGGGACTAGCAGCCTGAATATGGAGATAGATAAATGAATAATCAGCTTCTAGGCACATGGAAAATGCTCCAGAAAGAAATGGAGTGAGTACCAAGAGAGGACTAGCATAAGGACAGGGTGTGGGAGAGGCAAAGAAGACTTGCAAAGAACTTCACAGAGGATGAAAATACGGAGTCAAGTCTTAAGGAAGAATGAATGAGTAGATTCTGGTGGTCAGGTGGAGGAGCAAGACCAGCATAAGCAAAGACACAGAGGTTAGGGCCTCTTCAAATCATTCAATACGGCTGGAATTCGGTGGGGTGTTGGAGGAAAAGTGGATGAAGACTTAGAACGAGGCCAACCATGAAGGTGTGTATGTCCTGCTGAGGAGTTTACTTTCTCCTGTAGGCTGTAGGTAGACATGAGCGATTTTGCATTGAGGGGTAACATGATGAGACTTGTTTTGTGTAGCTCATTGTGGCTGTGATGTGGAAAATAAACTGGAGCCCGGGAAGGAGGCTTCTCCAACTTTCAGAAGAGAAATAGCAAAGCCCTGGGCCAGGGAAGTGATAAGAGAATTGACTGAAAGTGCATTTGGAATATAGAAGCAACGGGATCTGATAACTAGGTTGATTCTAAGAGGAAACAGAAAGGAAGAAGTCAGGGAGGAAATTCAGGGGTCCTTGAGTGGATACAGGAGTCATTTTCAGCATCTGATGCTATTCTTGGAAGGATGAGTTTGGAGAAGTGGCCGATGAAGTTAGTATGGCCCACACAGAAGTTTTGGTACCTATAGGGAGGGCATTCAGATGTGTTCAAGAGGTTTTTGGAAATGTGAGTTTGGAAAGAAGTTAGGGTTGGAGACACAGATTATGCCACTTATATGTATGATGTTCAGTAATGTTCTTAAAGATACATGAAAGGGAATATATGAGCTAATTAGCTCATCTAAGTAAAACTTAAGACCACAATTCAGTTGTTTGTAAACTACATTGAAATAACAGATAAGCCTTCATCCTTCAAGACCTGTAGGAAAAAACAAAAAGAATAGAAACTGTTTTACATGCTGTCACTTAGCATGAATAGGAAATGTTTCCTTTCCCATTTTGGATTCTTTAACAAAAATTGGAGATGTCTTTTACTTATTAAAATAACAAGAATTAATCAGGTCTTCCTTTGAAAATACTCATAGTCCATTCCAATGATTGTCATTGCCTCATCCAGAAGTTACGCTTCCTATTTTTTTTAGAACATTACTTACTTTTATAGAGTTCTGTACAAAACTGAGCAAAATATAAAGGAATGTATTTCTACCTCATTGGTCTTGATGACTTTCTAACACTTCATGCATTTTGATGGATAAGATTAATGAGACCACGTAGTGTTAAGCACCTCGGACTTTCAGAACAAAGGCCTTTTAGAAGAACAAAGTATCATTATTAATGACACATCATTTACAGTTTTCATCGGTAATGTAAGGTTTCAGCCACTATAATAGGAACTTAGTTAAGAGCTCAATGTAGAGGGCAAGGCTATTAGCTAAGGTTCTTGACAGTAATACCTTTTGCTTCTAAAGAAAAAGATAAATCACACTCAAATTGATCAAAAAGACAAGCCAAGGGGTTCAGAAAGAGGTGAGCCACCATTCGCTTACTAAATTTCTCAAAGGCCTTGTCATCAATGAGTCCTGGTGGTGAGCCCTGCCCTCATCATGGGTTTCCTTTGCTGCCAATCCCTTGCCTTCTAGGTATCCTGCTTCTCCAGAAAAATGCCTCATGCTTCAGACCTAATCTTTCCCTTTATTCTCCTCTCCTGTCTCCCTACAACCCCCAAAGTTTATGTTGGGTTTCATTGCCACAGGATTTTTCTCTGTCCTAAGTGAACTTGGACAACAAAGTACATTAAATAAAGGAATGCTGGTGTGCTCTGGTAACCTAATTGACATGAGTACCGCTAATGACGGCAATCTTAATGCAAGGTGGCAAAGCAGTGGGGACACATTTTTTCCTGAATACGCATTGTCAGTGTATTGTATTGCTAACAATCAGGTAAATAATGGAGGATGCCTGTGTACATAGCATCAACACTATTAGAAAAATTGGCAAATTCCTGATGAACTGCTGCTCTGATGTAAGAATCTCTTTGGGACCTTAATATACTTCAGGCTCATGAAGACCTTCTTAATGACTCTTTTAAAACTACTCTGTTTTGGTTGGAGGAGACTTAAGAGACATTCTCTTGGGGAAAAAAGTTAAAGTTAATTTTTTTTTAAAAATTGCCATCTAAAGTCAGCCAGCTCTGTTTTAGGTAGAGAGAAAAAAGTCTGGTACACAAAGAAATGTCCAATAAAAATAACAGAAGAGGGAATTTTTTTTTTTTTTTTTTAAGACAGAGTCTCACTCTGTCACCCAGGCTGGAGTGCAGTGGCATGATCTCGGCTTACTGCAACCTCTGGCTCTCAGGTTCAAGCAATTCTCCTGCCTCACCCTCCTGAGTAGCAGTCACTACAGGCGCCCACCACCACGCCTGGCTGATTTTTGTATTTTTAGTAGAGGCGGGGTTTTACCATGTTGGCCAGGCTGGTCTCGAACTCCTGACCTCAACTGATCCATCCACCTCGGCCTCCCAAAGTGCTGGGATTACAGGCATGAGCCACCACGCCTGGCCGGGAATTTACTTTTTAATTACGTATATGCCCTTGGACTTCTTATATCCAAGGGCATATAGGGAACTAGTTGATGACCTTGCAGCTCTACCAGCAGCTCTGAGAGTTAACTCAAGATTGTTGAGATCTCCCATGACAGGAAGACGGCAACAGATTTTAAGTAAGGTAGAAAGGGTTTTGATTATATATTATGAAGTGGTATTTGCTCTAAAGGAAATTCCAGACTTTTAGTCTGTCTCTGAATTTTAATAATTACATAGGCCAGGTTTGGTGGCTCACACCTGTAATCCCAGTACTTTGGGAGGCCAAGGAGGGCAGATCATTTGAGGTCAGAAGTTCAAGACCAGCCTGACCAACATGGTGAAACCCCATCTCTACTAAAAGTACAAAAAAATTAGCTGGGCATGGTGGTGTGTACCTGTAATCTCAGCTATTTGGGAGGCTGAGACATGAGAATCTCTTGAACCCGGGAAACGGAGGTTGCAGTCAGCCAAGGTCACATTATAGCACTCCAGCCTGGGCAACACAGTGAGACTCTGTCTCAAAAATAATAACAATAATGATTTTATACTGAGCAAATTGGTTAGTTGATTTGATTGTGGAGATACCCGGAAAATCTTTCGTGTCATATTACTGTTTTAATTTTTTTAACCATCTGAGGAAATACAGTGACATATTACTGTTTTAGGAGCTCTCACCAACTACTTTACTTTCTCTTTTGTGCTTTTATTTTACAAAGTTAGGTCAAAGCTCATTTCCAGTCCAATTGTTGAGGTTCACTCTTTTCTATCTCACTTCCCGAAGATACCTCCAGCCAGGGAACATTTACTGGGCAACAAGGGAATTCAGGCCAACAAGAAGCCTGAGACACCAGACAAAAGGCTACAGCACAAGGGATCATTGCAGGAAAATGTATCCCACTTCAGTTTTAAAGTTTCTGCTGCTTTGAAGTCCAAAATATCCAATAAATAATTGCAATTTATAATTCAAGTAAAATGCAGAAGACTACTATGATCACATTCTTTAATAACTTTTAACACTACAAAAAATTTTAAATTGACATTTATTAAATTCAAACAGTATTTGAGGACTATCTAGTTTATATACATGTTGAGGTTGATAAAGTTCAAATTCTGTTTTAGGAAGTCAACAATGAATTGAGTTCATTTTAACTGAATGTTATTATAAAAGATGGTTTTCTTGCTGCAGTGTAAATCTGCTATTAAGAAATTAGCAAAGTGGCTAGTGCTGTTTGTGCCTTTAAGATCATAGTTCAAAAGAATCAAGCAAAGTCGATAACAAAGGTAAGACAAACATAACCTTTATTCTCTCTCAAAAACCCGGAGAACAGGGCCTGGAACCACATTCATTAATTTAATCAGAATCAGAATACTTTAACTTTCATAGCCTCATTTAACATTTTATAGCAATATACTGATCATTCTAAAAATAACAAAATACATGTTGCTCTCAGCTACATAGTAAAAAATGTAGTAAATTCTCCTACCCAAAATAGAGGAGGGCTGGGCTAGTGAGCTGCTCAAACATTTGTAACAAATAAAAATTTCTCTATGTACATATAATGATCATATTTTCATAGCCTAAAATCACCATACAAAATCTAATAATAAAATTGTGTCATGTTCAGGAGTTGGGAGGCCAACACATTGAATTAACAAAGTGTTTTTGGTATATGCAAATAATGGGATAGAATATCTTGATTCAGGATTGTCCCAGAAGTTCTAAGGCAGATGTCAATGACATGCACATTGTTCATTGTTCAGTAATTTTCAAAGACTAGAATAAACTATGTAAACTATTCAATACAATTCAATATTACTTAACTGCTAAAAAAAATACTTCAAGATCTTGCACTGCTTTAAGTGAATGAGTATAATCAAATTAATAATTGGAAAACAGCTTAATAGCAGGCACTGAAGAATTCTGACAAATACCAAATAACTGTTTGCGTTTACAAATAAACTGGTAAGATGATATCACAAAGGGGTTTTTTTAAAAGTTATTTTGCCATACAAGGTTTTTTAAAAATAAAACGATTGCTTCTTAGAATAACTTTAAACATATTGATTGATGTTAGTCAATCAAAATCAATTGAATGATTTTAGTTGAGTTTTAACGTCATCTCAAAGGTTCAAATAATCTTAAGATTCTAGTTTACATAAAAGACTATATATGCCTTAGCACTGATTCAAATATGATTACTAGGAATCAACAGATTTCATTTGAAAAGATAAATTTTTTTCCAGATACAAGGGAAAAGGTATGAAGCCCTTTCTAAACACACACACACACACACACACACACACACGCACACTAAATGATAAAGAAGATTGAGCTAGGAGACATAGATGTGACTTTAGGGAACTTACTTTCCCTCGAAGATCTCTTCCAGCTGTCTGATTCTACGTTAAAGCATTTCCTCTGAACTGTACAAACTGGCCTCACATTTTCGAGTTTCTACACAGTACCTGGCAAAGTTTGCCTGTTTGCTTTTATACCAAAATACTAAAATATTAAATGAATAACATAAACCCTGTCCTACAACTCTGTATGCCAACTAGTTTTCCCGAGATAGTGATTTTTTAAAAATTCATTCCACAAGTCATCAAGAGCTTCCTACGTTCAAGGCAGAGTGCCAGACCAAACCTGGAACATCATGGTTGTCACTGCCCCTGGGAACAAATTACTATCCAAAAAAGTGAACTCAGTTGACTGCTTCAGGCCCAACCTGGTTCAGGGTCGTGATTCCCAAATTTGAGGGAGTATGGGACTCTCCAGAGGAGTTTGTTAAAACACAGCTTCGAGGGTCTCATCCCAGCCTTACTGTGACTGAATCTCTGGTTGGTGTCTCCTAATCTACCTGCATATTTAACAAGCATGTTCTCCCTCACGCTTCCACATCTCTGCAGGTAATTTGTGGGCCTCACTCTCCATTCCAACCCACTCCCCTCACCAAAGAAAAGAAAACCACAGTATTGTAGTGGCAAAAGCTCTAGACTCAAGAGTCAGGAGTCACTTGCAGCTGCCTGATCTTAGTTACTTCATATTGCTAGGTCTCTCAATCTCTTCCTCTGATAGGGGTTGAACAGGAGTCTCCATAGGGATCCCTTCCATTCTCAAACTTGAAGAACCTCACATGGCAACTCGGTGTCGTGAAGGAGGTGGGAAGAGTTTGCAATGATGTTTCACTCTGCAGTCAACATCCCTCCCCGCGGCAAGACAGTCTAGCGAGCCCCCCAAGAGCAAGGGGGTAATTCCCTTCTCTGATCCCCTCATTCACAAAGGGAGGAAAAGCGAGGAGAGGTTGGAATTGGGCCAGGGGCGAGGAGGAGATGCCAGAAGAAGCTCGAAAGAGTTTTGGCAAGAAGCAGGAAGGATCCCTGGAAAGCTGGAATCACTCCTCGTCGTCGTCGTCCTGGTCCTGGTAGCGAATGTAGACGATCAGCATGACAAAGCCAGTGAGGATGCAGAGGGAGCCGACGACCAGGTAGGCGATGCCGAGGAAGGGGTTCTTGCCACCCATCCACGAGATGCTGCTGAAGATGAGGAGCTTGTGGCCGCCGAACGCGCGCACCGGGTAGTTGTAGGTGATGTTGACGCGGTAGGCGCCCCGCGGCAGCCCGGCCGAATAGTTGCCCTGGCGGATGCGCGCATACAGCTTGCGGAACGTGGGCAGCGCCGCCGTGCGCATCCACACCACGAAGTCCTGGTTGATGAAACCGGTGTTGTTGGGGTCGGGGCTGAGCTCGTAGACCGGCCGGCGCCAGTTGGGCGGGGGCGCCGTGCCCTGGAAGGCCAGCGCCAGGCTGCCGTTGACCAGCGGTGGGTT